TATTCTAATAATACTGTAAGAAAAATACGATATCTTAAAGATTACTCCCCACCCTGAACCCTCCTCCCCAAACTGTACTGTCTGGAGATATGGTTTCAGGGCAAAATCCAAATACCTTTGTTGAGTAGGTGTCATATTTATTTAGTATGTAGCTGCAGTTAGTCCTTTTCAATTCTTCTATAACCTGAGAATGATTTGGAAAGGAGAAAGGAGACATAGGAGAAAGGAAGCATTTAGTTAAAAATGTATTACATGAAAAAAGACACGCCTAAAAAGGACAAGTGCAGAATCAATACTGATAGATTATTATATTGTACAGATTATAACTAGCTTATGACAAATGGGAAACTTATTAAAATCAGTATGATATAATAAAACTATAGCACTATAATGAAACCACATATACCGCCAAAAGTATGGATCCAATATGAAGATAACAGCTTTGTCATAATAAAAAAGAAACAAGTAGAGAATGCACATGAAACATCAATAACATATTCCAAGGAATAAAATTCACATGAGGAGAAAACAACCACAACATGCTATCCTTCCTGGATTTCCTCAACAGCACAGGCAATGATGGCAAATTAGAAAGCCAAGTCTATTGAAAAACAACTAATACTAAACAAGTGATCCATTATTACAGTAACAATCTAACCTCCCATAAGAAAAGCTGTGTAAGAACACTATTTATTTGAGCACAAACATGCTGCAGCAACCTTGAACATCAGGAAAGTGAACCATCTTCCAACAAATGAGTACTTGTGCTATTTTTATCAAAAAGTGCCTGACCACTCAACCCACCACAGCACAACTGACACAAGCTGTGAAAAGGATAACACTACCATACACTAATAATATCTTAGAAACAACCAACAGACTATTACAACCACATGACATTGCCATAGCACACAAGCCAACTAAAGCCCTTCAAAAACATCCCAAATAAAGCACAAGATCCAGTCCAAGCACAAAAAACAGGCATCATCTACAACTTACATTGTAAGGACTGTTACAGCCAATGTGTAGGACATACAGTCAGGAGACTAGCAGAGCGCATCCGTGAATACCAACTAGCAATCAGAAGACACAACAAAAACTCCTTAATCTTAATAGACTGACTCAATCATATTTTCAACTAGGAAACTATCAGCAGCCTAGACCAAACAAAACCCAAAACTGCTAGGGCAGTGGTCCCCAACCTTTTTTGTGCCAGGGACCAGTTTCACGCAGAAACACTTTTTCAAGGACCGGGGGGGGGGGGGAGTCCGAGTTTGGTGGTTTGCTTGCAGACGTTTCATTATCTGACTAGGTAACATCTGATGTTGTTACCTAGTCGGGTAATAAAACGTCTGCCAGCAAACTACCAAGTTCAGGCAGCGCCAATGCCTCCTCATTGCAACCCTGAGCGACAGATAGTCCCTGCAGGATGGCTGAGAAGCCCCGCCTCTCGGCCCTGCCTTCCTCAGCCCCATCCCTCAGGTGTCTCCCTCCCTCCCTCAGCCTCATCCCTCAGGTGTCTGTCTCGTTCCTCTCTCAGTTGCTCTCTCGCTCCTCCACCAGCCCAGGAAGAAACTGCTTCAAAGAAGCTGGCAGGGTGGCTTTTCCTGTCGGCGCAGCTCCCCCGAAGCGCCCGTTCACCCCCACCCCACCACCAATCAATCCAGGTTCAATCCAGTGCTCCATTCTGCCTACCTGCCTGCCTTCGTTTGTTTCGGAGCAGCTTCGGCTGAGTAAAAGAGGCGAATAGTTATTATTCTCAGCCGAAGCTGCTCCGAAACAAACGAAGGCAGGCAGGCAGGCAGAACGGAGCACTGGATTGAACCTGGATTGATTGGTGGTGGGGTGGGGGTGAACGGGCGCTTCGGGGGAGCTGCGCCGACAGGAAAAGCCACCCTGCCAGCTTCTTTGAAGCAGTTTCTTCCTGGGCTGGTGGAGGAGCGAGAGAGTGACTGAGAGAGGAACGAGGCAGGAGGAAACCGAAGCCACTGAGCCAGAGAGTAGGACAGGCTTTGGTTGCTTCCTCCCTCCCCTTCTTTCATTTGTGTCCTTGATCCCTGATCCCAGCAGCATTCACCGAAGGCGAAGAAAGCCGCCATTTTTTTTTTATTTTTTATTTTTTTTTTCTTTGCGGCCCGGTGCAAAGTAATCCACGGACCGGTACCGGTCCGTGGCCCGGTGGTTGGGGACCCCTGGCTAGGGAATTCCTGGAAGATTGGCATTCTACAAATCAGCTATCAGTAGACACACAGACTTAAATCACATTTACATACCGTTCAAACAAAAAAGCTGAAAAAGAAATAAAAAAGACCAGAACATATCCTGTCCAGCAACCAACACTCAGATAAGCAGGTATTAACACCAGACCAATAATCAAGCAGAAAAAAAAATCCTAATCAAGGAGAAAACCACAGTTTTGCCAATACTGGCAGGACACAGCACTGTATATAAACAGGTAGCAAACCACATACTCATTAGCACTGATATTACCTACATATTACCTAGTCAGGTAATAATGCAAGCAAATAACCAAGCTTAGAAAAGACCAAGGATCCAACATAGCTATTACAGGTAGTCCTGAGTTAACCATTTCACTGTTTGGTGACTAAACTTACGTGTAAGTTTGAAGAGTCACTGAAATGCTGAAAAAGGTTACAATAGGTTCTTACACTGGCCACAGCATCCTTGCAGTCACTTGATCATGATTTGGGAATTTGGCAACCAGTGCACATTGATGACAATTGCAGCACATAAGCCAATGTATACAGGTGGGAAATCCAGCCTTATTTCATTTTTTTTTTCATATTTATGTAAACATAGCTCATTAAAATAACTTGCTTTTCAAACATCAAATTAAAACCCATTCAGAAAATGGATTAATTCAGCAAGTGGGTTGAGAACTGTGCAAATACCACTGATGTCTGATTGAATAACTTTATCTATGTCTGGTCATCTTTTAATCTGCTGAGGCTACAAATAGCAGATTGTATTGGCGTTGACTGACACCGACCCCCTAACCTTTCTCTGTGAGTCTTGGAGACCGATATGGAAAGCAGTTGCAGGAATATTCTGATTAGAAAAGGGAGATGAGCCTTTTTAGTTCATCCCAACGGCAATTAAATATTGCTCAGGGTGTATTTAGGTTGCCATAAGCCTGCAAATGGAAGGTGGCGTTGTATTTTCAAGAGACACCCAGGGCTAATGTTAAAAATCAGGCGGAGTCTGATACTATCATTTCAGACTAACACATTTTATTAAAAGGCATAAATCCATCAGATGCATGGAGTGGCTAGACCAGAGTTTCCCAACCTTTACAACCTTAAGAGGTGTGGAAATCCCAGGTGCTAAGGCCTTAGCTTCTGAATGCCATTTTTCTTAGTCCCACATTCAAAAGCTGTTTTTTACTAAGGATTATTCTGAAATAAAAGAGTTTATTCACAAGAAGGATCTCTCAGAGCTCTCTTGAGCAAGATTTATTAAAAGAATGTAGTATTGACACATGCATTCTAGCAAGGGTAGCATTTTTAAAAATAAGAACCAATGTATTATTAGTAGTAATTTTTTATTTATTGTTCTATTTATACACCACCTTTATTTTTGTACAGCTCAAAGCAGTGTATTTAATACTCACTCCTACTTTCCCACAACAACTTTGTGAAATGGGTTGGGTCGAGAGAGAGGAGCTGGGCCAAAATCAAGCAGACGGGCTATTCCTCTGTCATGGTTCCGAGCAATGAATCCAATTGAATCAGGACTCGGAAGTTCCATTCAGGCTTTGAAAGACCTTTTACTGAGTACATCATAATGGCACTTAGAAAGGTGAAGCTCTGGCTTATTCCCATGCTTCAAAATAATAATAAGAATAGCCACTTCTCACCCCACTCAGATGTCTTGGGTCATGTTAACCAATCAGTCTGGCAGTAGCTCCCCCTCGGTTTCAGCAGATGTTCATTGCCATGACCTTGGTTCACATGCCTTGTCCGGTAGATGTTTTGTCTAATGGACCCAGGCATGGCATTCCAGTCCTTTCTAACTCCCCCCTCCCCCCAAGAGTGGCAATTAAGAAACAAAGCAGAAGGAAATATGGCTTCCGCTGAAGTCGTTTCAAAGTTGACACCTTACTTACTTAAGTGAAATAAGTAGCCCAGAATAATTCTTTCCTAGCAATTAACCTCAAGAAGCCAAAGCAGGACCAGATAAACTTCAGCAAAGAAGAAACAATAGCCCAATCAAGGAACTATCAAGGAAGAAACCACACCCCAACCGTTGATTGGTAGGGCTAACTACCATCTATTATCAGTCAACAAACTCAACTCTCCCCTTGCTGTGATCAGGTTACCCAAGTTGGTAACAAAGCATCTGCAGGAAAACAATCAAGAATTCAACAGCTATCATTTTGTCAAGATGGGAACCCTCCATGCACATTAAAAAAACAGGCAGAACCGCAATCACCCCATTATGGCCTTCATCTTGGCTTTTTTACCATACCCTGAGGACAGCTCTGGATGATAGAGGAAACTAGTTTTGGAGAATGCTTTTGGTACCGTTTTGTCTATGTAATTCACTGCTCGAAACAAGCCCTAGGATAAATTTCCTGATTAAAGATAAATTTTACGACTTATCTGAACCTTTTCGAGGGATTCTCGATATAACTGTGAAGCAGATTTGCCTTCTTCTGAGGGCTCCACAGGATATTTGAAGACGCCGGGGTCTTTCTTGACTTCCCATACTCTCTTCCTGATGTTTCTAATAAAATACCAGGCATTCTCATTTTCCTGAAGAAATTCGTTCAACTTGAGACCAAATTTTCTGATATATTCCCGGATAATCCTGGGGAGAGGAAAAGAAAAAACAGTGAAAGGAAAAAAAACAATAGAATGTATAGTTCTGTGCAGAAAATAGCACTTAAAAGTATTGTATCTGATTATTAAGAGAATTAAGGTGCAAATGTGAAGATGAAATATTCTGCTATCATTTCTGGAGTATCGCTGTCTCTCTTTCACTTTGCTTTACATACAGAAAGAAAAACTGCACACATTTAGCCAGAATTTCCAGTTTCAACACAGGTTTTTCTGTCCGTAAAAAAAGAAAGAGCTACCAATTAAAAAGAGGGGGGAAAAAACAGCACAGAAAAACAGCAACAACTCTCAAATTGCTTGACAAACTCTTACAAGTCATTTGTCTTATGAAAATCATATTTTTCTCACGTGAATAGACACTTGGAAGAAAAATAAGATCAAACAAAATGATTCCAATCCAAATTAAACTTGTTTTATTCCCAATTATTTGCCCTGGCTTTTAGGATGCTTTTTTAAAAACTTCCCACTAGAACCTACAGTTTAAGGATTTCCTAGAAGTCTCCCATCCAAATACTAAGCAATATCAGGTTGGGCCTGCTTAGCTTTCTGAAAGCCAAGGTAGATGTTTCCACCTAATTTGCCATCTTAATTCTAAAGGGAATTAGCTTAACCAAACCTGTGAATGCTCCAGCATACTCCATTCTATTCCTCATCACATTTGTCCTGTTCACTCAGTATAAATTGCTGTAGGCTCTGTTGCCAAGCTTTAAATGGCTACTGAACCACCCTTACAAATATGTGGTATTTAATGTTGGCTGGTGTTCCCAGAGTCTAAAATAGCAATGTTGTTTCGGGACATACCTCCATGACCCTCCAGGTTTCTTGGTATGCAAGGAGAAGAGATAAGTAAACATTATCATCTCACATCTCACCTGTGTCTCTCAGGGAGACGCATGGGTCCCAGATTGACATACCAGCCTTCCGTTTCATTTCGATAAGTGT